ATCCTTTACTCTCATTTCATCAACACTGGATTTTCTCTCCTGTCCTCCCTAGAATATGACAGACACCTAGCAGCAGCAGTATCAGCAGGGAAAACCATGGCAACGGCCTACCTGGACCCTAACCTGAATCACACCCTCCTTGGAGGTGCTAAGTCACGGCTGAGCACGGGGGGGTCAGACCGAACCACGGCAGGCTCTGTGGACAGGGTTCTGAAAGTCGTCCATTACTTTGAGACCAACACAGAGCACAGTTGCTGGTCATCCAATATAAGATATGGAGATGCAACTGATGTCAGGGTAAGGACAGGCACACCAACTCAAACTACTCTACATTCATGTTCATCGTAATGAAGAGCAACAGTGCGGCTCATTAAAGTGTTTTAATAGTTTCTGCACAGCAACGGATGTGACAGAAGGAAAAAGCAGTTTCAAACTTTAATGTAACAGGCAGTACCAATTAGTAGGATAAATTCAGTGCTAGTCAGTAACAATGGAGGATTATTCAGCAAGTCTTTATGTAGCTCTGCATATGGTTTATTTTGTCCATTTTGTAATGCAGTTTTACTCTATTCATGGAATTTGTTAACATTAAGGAAAATCCAGATTACAGCTGCCCTTATACTACTGCTTCATAACATTAGAACCTTCACTGTTGTAATCTTGTGCAGGGCATTTGCATTAGGTTTCACAGCATTATATAGAGGTCATTTTTATTTATTTATTTATTTTTTGCTGTTTGTCCTAAGCTCAAGGTCCTAACTGTCTGCTCTGATTAAGGATACTCAGCACAATAAGAATATTTTGCTTGCATTCAACATCATGGCACCATCTCTGTGTATGGGTGTGTGTGTGTACCAGTGAATTTACTTAGCAGTATGCTTTTGGATCCACCCCTAAGAAGCAGAAACAACCTAGCACTGCTCAAACTTCAGTGGTTATACAGGATATGTCACTACACTGTCATCTTCTCCCTGCATCAGTCTCTTCTTCAGTATCTAAGTCGTCCCCTATAGCATTGTACATGACAACACGCGTACTTCTGTGAGAAATTTTGTGCGTGCGTTTATGGTGTCTGTCAAGTTGTTTTGGTGGGAACGTCATATTATATCGCTTGAAGTCACCTACCCACATGCACATGTGTATAGCCTGATGCCCTCATTGACCTGAGACAAAATGCCATTAGCACAATTGGCACATTGAGCCATAGCAGACTGACATTGTTATAGAACTGCAAAATACTTTTGTCCTCTGGGCATCTCTGTTTTATTTAATAGTCACCACACTGATGTACATGTGTTGGGTCACCACAACTAGAACAGTACTATTGTGGATAAAAGGGAAATACTTTACCCGTAATTTACCCATTAAGCCTAATGCACCAGTGCTAAATGTAATATCTGTAGAAAAGATACTTTATCCTTAAATAGTATGTGTTGAATCTCACAGCTGTTCTAAATGACACTTTTATTGCCTTTTTTATTTTTAAATCATAAAGTTTATGTAATTGTGGAGGGAAAGTGGGTAAAAAAAAAAAGCAAATCACAATACAAATTGTTCATCGTTTACTTCCAGGGAATCATCCAGAAAATTCTGGACATCCACAAAGTGCGTTGGACATCTTGTTTTGGTCTGCGTCTCAGCCAGTCCAGAGAACAGGTGCACTGGCTGCACCCTGATATGGGCGTTTCACACATCAGAGAGAACTATGAACAGGCACGACCAAGTGAGGATTGGAGGTAAGAGAAGTGTTGGTGTGTTTGTGTTTATCAGACACTCATGATGCATCGTTGTTGTAACATAGTGAAGTTTGCTGATGTGTAAATGCAGTATTCAGTGCCACTGGATCAAGATGCAAATCAGACTGGTTGTAAGGCACACAGGCAAAGACTCAAGATAATATAGAATGAGGGGCACAAGTGTTATCAACTAAAAAGACATGAGTTTTTTATGTATTGTCTGTGTAAAGGTCTTGTTTTTAGGTACATGTCTTAAAGTTGGCCCTTTGTGATTGATCAAGAACACTGTTTTTGAATAAAGTAGCTAGGCAGCCTTTGCGCTATAGTACCATCCCTTTGGAATATTTGTTAGTTTGTCTTTCATGTGTTGTTTGCTATCTGTCTGATTTATGACTGTTTTGTTATTTGTCATGAATGCTTGCATGGACACCCAGACTTGTTTGCCCAGTAGGGGTTAGTAAATATATCTAGCCCAATTATCACAAGTTAATTGACAGTGTGGTAGCTTTATCTGAGATTTTACAGAAAATCTGTTCTTTAAGTTCAGATCTTGATCTTTAGATCCTGAGCCAGGTGTTTGTATGTCCTTAACAAGAATATATTTGTAGAAAGCTATGGGGTGACACTTTATAAACAGTTTTTAGACATTAGATATGACTTCTTTGGCCTTCTCAAATCAGTTGCTATTAACCCAAACAGCAGTCTGCTTTGTTGTATACCAAAGGAGCAGAAGTGACTTTTTGCAAACAGCATTATGTAAAATAGTGTGATCTGTCTGTTGTGTGGAGATGGGAGGTCTCATGTGTGTGGTGCAGTGTGATCGTTGCGTTGGTTTGGCAGTTTGCATGTTAATGCACTGGTATATATTAACTTTATTGTGGCATTCTTGGTGCTAATTCTATTGTGAGGTGGAGCCCTTTTGCATTGTGGACATGTAGAAAGAGAGAACCAGATGCTGCTTTGTCAGACTAAGTCAACAACTCTCTCATATAGTCACTCACCTCATTTGCATTTTTGAATCTTGCTGTTTCTGTCTGTCGCTCTTCTAATCTTTTTTCTTTTTCTATTCATCATCATTCATGTTTTTTGACTGCTTTCTTCATCTTTTAAAGTTGTGCCTTTAGTTATTTCAAGCCTCCTCTCCTCTTGCTCTAACTAGCATACTGCTGACTATGCTTTTTTGTTATTGATTTAATTTGATTATTTTTAATTTATTTTATAAAATTAGTTAGTGGCACATGGCACGTGTTTAGTGTTTAGCTGTCAGCTAAACATACTTAATGCATAGTTACCAAACTCATCAACTTATTAAATGGATTGATTCCAGTGTTTGTAGCACACAAAATATTTGTTCCAGCATTTTTCCTGATTTTTGCTGTTTAGGTTTTAAAAATGGTATTGGTGCAGCTCTGCATGACATACTCACTCTGCTTCTTTTTTCTTCTCCTCTATAGATATGAGTTAAGGATCCGATATCTCCCAAAGGGCTTTGTTCAGCAGTTTACAGAAGACAAACCTACACTCAACTACTTCTACCACCAGGTACACAGACATGTTTTGTTTTCTTCCAGCAGCCAGTGCTGAGGCACTGCTAGACTGTGTGTTTTGCCTTTGGGTTAACTAGGTCAGTAGGACTGCGTGTTTGTGTGTGTGATGAAAAATTTGCCATGTGAATGATGTTTAAATGTTTTAATAAGAGCATTTTGTTGTGTGTTTGTGTGTCCTCCAGGTGAAGAATGACTACATGACAGAGGTAGGGGATCAGGTGGAACAGGATGTAGCTCTCAAACTGGGCTGTCTGGAAATTAGGTAAGACAAGCTTACTAGTACTGAGTAGTGACACAGGTTCACTACTTTTGTTTATAATGTACTGTGTCCATTTCTATGTGTCAGTGTCTATTTTCATTTTATATCAAAAGCTAAAAGGTTCAATCCAATCAAATATGATACATTTGCCCTGAAACCATCACATACTCTGTGTATTTTAGCTTTTCTTGAACTAAAGGGACAGTTTGAGTTTTCTTCACAAGTTGTTTTCATATCAGATAGTCTGTGTTTGCCCTTTAGCTGCACTGATAATTCTTGCCAACATTTGCCAGTTTTTATTTGTTATTCAATGCCCCTGCTACTTACAGGTGCATCTCAATAAATTAGAATATCGTGGAAAAGTCCATTTATTTCAATAATTCAACTCAAATAGTGAAACTTGTGTATTAAATACATTCAGTACACACAGACTGAAGTAGTTTAAGCTGTTGGGTCTTTTAATTGTGATGATTTTGGCCCACATTTAACAAAAACCCACCAATTCACTATCTCAATAAATTAGAATACCTCATAAGACCTATAAAAAACATATTTAGTGAATTGTTGGCCTTCTGGAAAGTATGTTCATTTACTGTATATGTACTCAATACTTGGTAGGGGCTCCTTTTGCTTTAATTACTGCCTCTATTCGATGTGGCATGGAGGTGATCAGTCTGTGGCACTGCTGAGGTGGTATGGAAGCCCAGGTTTCTTTGACAGTGGCCTTCAGCTCATCTGCATTTTTTGGTCTCTCATTTCTCATTTTCCTCTTGACA